AGGAGCAGGATCTCCCCCGCGGCCATGCCGGGCGGTGCTGGCAGGACGCTGACCTGTGCCGCCCTTTCCCCAGTGGGTACACGTACACGCGCTCGGAGCCGGGCACCGAGCTGGACATGGATCTCGGTGAGGGAGACATGGAGGAGAACAGGGATGCTGGCGACACCGAGAGCGGCAGCATCGAGGAGGACAGGTCTGTGAGCTTAACATTCCAGCTCCTGAGGGTGGGGGGGATGGGGGCCATGGCCTGCAGGGACTGAAGTTCCTGCTTTGCTGCTTCTGGAGTGCAGCTCGGAGCTCCAGTTCTGCCTCACCCCGCTCCTGCTCTGGGCCCCCAATCCTCTTTGCCTCCCAGTCGTGCTCTGTGCCCACCACTCCCACTCTTGCCTCCTCCTGCTCTGTGCCCACCACTCACTTTCTGTGAGCCCTCCCTTCCTCCTTCATGCCCCGCACTCCTGTTCTGTGCCCCTGTTCCCACTCTTCCTCCTGTTCCATGCCTACTACTCCCCCTCCTCCCACCTCACCGCTGCCACCATTCATTAACATCTGTGTGACACTAGTGTGATCATTAAGGCCCATGTGCTTTGTTACAGGTTGCAAGTTATTTGCATGTGAGTCCTGGGATGGCACCGAGGTGCTGCTCCCTCTCCTGCCTGCATCCCGCCTGCATCCGCCACGGAGGCAGCCCCCGGTCCCTGCCCCTGCCCATCCCTCCGCGTTGCTCTGCCCCACACGTACACTGGAGACCACTCCAGCATCCTGGAGCACGATGGACTGGGAGCAGCCGTGGTGTACTGGCCGTGGATGTGTCCCCTTGCTCTGGCACTGCTGACCATCCCCCCCCTTTCCCCGGGGCCGGGGCCCCAGACAGCTGTGTGGGAGCTCCGAGAAGCTTTGCTGCACTTTATCGCTGATCTCGTTGGCTGCACTGACCTGCAAACTCCTCGCGACGCTGAACCCGGGCTGGATTTCCCTCGAGCAGTTTTCCCTCCCGGCAGTCACCCGGTGACCACCATCCGTCCATCCGCAGCGCTGCAGCCCGGAGGGAAGCCCTGCTTGGCCCTCTCCACATGCCGCGCTGCTGAACTCCCCACAAACTGTCCCCAGCTCCTTCCACAGAGAAGAGTCCGTCTGTTTCAAGAGGTTTCCTTTGCTCCCGCCCTCCTGTCGTGGTTCTCTGCCCTGGTTTGGTTTTGTTGGTTGTTTTCTGATCCTCGTGGGGTGGTGCCGGTGTCCCTGCATCCAGGGGTCCCACCTGACAGCCCCGGGTGGATGCTGGACCAGGCGCTTCAGTCCCACCCCTGGGGCTTCCTCTGGGGTTTGTTTCAAACCCTTCCTGACTTTGGGCTGCCCGGGGGCCAGGGCCAGAGCCGGGCTGGGGCCGTGGGGCTGGGGTCGTGGGGCTAGGGCTGTGGCGCTGGGCCTGGCTCAGCCTGTTCAGGGGCTGTGGCAGCTGATTTGGTGTTGGGGTGAACCTGGTTCTACCACATCTCCCCCTGATCTCTCCATCCCCCCTACCCAGCAGCCACGGGGGGAAGCCCCCCACTCTGCCCCAGGGCCTGAGGGGCCATGGTACCCCCTCCATGTTTCAGCAGGTAGCTGAGGGCAGGGAGAGCTCAGCTGAGCACGCACAAACCATTGGAGCTGCCTCCCCATGACCCCAGCCTCCTTAGAAGAGCCCACCTAGGTCCTCACCCTCCCTGCCCCTCCCTCTGGGGTGTGTTGGGGGGTCTCCCCCTTCCCTCCCAGTGTTTGGGAAAGGCTGTCTGGGAAGGTGCAGTGAATGCCCCATGGTTGGAGACACCTGGCACTGGGGGGCTTCCCTGGAGGGCTTCCCCCCATCCCTGGGCCCAGGGGGAGGCTCCAGGTCATGTTCCAGACATGGCTCCAGCCTCTAGGGGTGTAGAGGGGGGTCAGACAGGTCCTCCCCTCCCCCCCACTGTGGGCTCCTGCAGCAGTGCGGTGTTGTCCTTGCTGCTCTCCTGCACTGTAACTCCTCCAAAGCTTGGTTTAAGTTGGAGTTTGTTTCTTCATTGCTCTTCTGGACCAGCCTGAGCAGGGAGGGGGTTGCCTTGGGTGCCCTTTTCCCTCTGGGCCCTGGAGGGATGGAGCAGGATTTGTCCAGTTCCCGTCTCATCTATCCGTGGTCCCCCTTGCGCGCTACCCCCCCCAGCCCATCAGGGAACCTGGACTTGGCTGCACCCCAATGTATCATTTAACAATAAAGTTTTTCTGTGATTTGTCCACCCCCTTCCTTCAGGGACCCCGTGTGGGGGAAGCCTGTCCTGCCACAACCATGGGAGAAACAGTGGGGGTCTTGGGTCCTGCCAGGACCTGTGATCCCACCTGGGGGCTGTGCAGCCCCCTGGGACACTGGCACAGAGCAGAGGCTGTGCTGTGCCCTGCTGCTGGTCATGCCTGTGCTCCCACTCAGTGCCGGGCAGGCACCGTCCCTCTGATAACGAAGAGACCCCATGGCCTGGCCCTGCAGTAATAGAAGTATTAACTCCCACGGGTGGGCGGCACAGCCTTGAGGAGCCCCCAGCCCGGCTGTCCTCACAGAAGCAGCAGCTGGCATGGCGGCATCACTGGCTCCCCGACATTGTTAGGAAGGTACCAGCTAAAGAAGGTGGCAGCTACAGGGGTGGAAATTGCATTTTCCCTCCCCAGGGAGCACCTGCCCTGAGTCTGGAAGGAGTGTTGTGTGCAGAACTCTGGTGCTAGCACTGCGCACCAGGGCACACCAGGAATGCTGGGCTAGGAGCGGTTGCCTGGAGCTGGGCTCAAGCCGCTGGTTCTGGGATCCCTCCAACCTCAGATGTCATTTTTTTTGGAATTAAACAACTTCTGGCAAGTTTTCCCATCTTGACTGCCTCGTGTCTGCTCTGGGATTGAGCCCTTCCAACTCCAGCCATTCTATGATTCTGTGAGTGGCCAGAAGGAAAATCTAGGCATCCAACTGGGGTTGGTTGGAGGAGGAAAGGCCATGGGGAGAAAGAGAGGTACTTAATTGCAGGTGTGTAATTGCAGTTACCTGTGGGGTGTGCTCCAGGCCAGCAGGGTGGCGGTTGGTTGGCGGTCTGGCTCCTGGCAGAGCCACTTCCTGGGAATGTGTCAGTGTGAGGGGAGAGGGGGACACTGCAGGGCAGGGGTAGAGGTGGCAAAGGCTGCTTTGAAACACGGACCTCCAAAATTACTGGGGGGGAGATGAAAAAACAGGAATACCTGTGGGTGTGAGGTGTTGAAATGCAGAAAAACCTCTCACTTTTGTGTGTATTAGAAAATACTAATTTGTGTATCTAAAGGGACTTAAAAATGAAAACCTTTTAGCTTACATAAAGGATTTCAGAAGATGAATCTAGAGATATATAGGGGTTTAGAAAAGAAAAATAACTTGTGCTAAAAAAAAAAAAGATGGATAGACTTGAAAATGAAAAAAAAATAAAATTTCCAGCTGAAGTAATGTGAAGCTGACCTAGGCCCGAGTGCAGCTGCCTGCACTGTGTGTGACACTGTGATCTGAGTAGGGACCAGATGTCACCTGAGGGGAGCTGCTGTTGTTAGCTGAGCCCCAAGGTGCAGAGAGGGATTTGCCGAGTGGTGACTTTACTGCACGTACTGTGTCACAGCACACGTGTCAGTGTACAACGGTGTGAACAGCTGTCATTCTGAGCACAGACCCACAGAATGGGGAAGGTTGGAAGGGGCCTTAAAGATCATCAGGTACCAACCTCCTTGCCATGGGCAGGAACACCTCCCAGCAGCCCAGGCTGCTCCAAGCCCCATCCAACCTGCCCTTCAACACTGCCAGGGATGGGGCAGCGACAGCTTCCCCG